TCAGTTCTGCAGCAGGAAGGATGATGTCACAGGAGCAATTATCACTTCAGGTAAGAAAATAAACAACCACAGAGATGATCCCTGCAAGTCTTTATAATGATCTGAATGCCATTTTCCCATGGAAATATCGCATATAAGAAAATAACTATAACCTTAAGTAGAAAACCTACAAAAAAGTGCTTGTTCTAGGCCCTGAGCCAAACAGTATGGGTCTTGTAATCCTTCCTTACCAGTTACCCACTCACATCCTCTAATGCTGACTCAAAGTGTAGCACTTTGTCCCCACGAGGACCCATCTGCTAGGTCTCAAATTCCTTCTTGCAAAGCAAAATGAACAAGCATTGATCTAATTAGAGAAATGTCTTAGAACCATGCCATTACCTTGTAAGAAAAAAAATTTATTACACACAAAAAAATAGACAAACTATAAATTCAGGGATTTTAGAGCACTGGGCTGAATCTGCAGGAGTTTCACATGTGAGGCTCATTCATTCAACCTATGCCAAGTAAACAGATCTGGTGAAAGGCGGAGAAAGATTTATTATGTGGTAGCCACAAGGAGACAGCACTTCAGTACAGCTTCAGCTGTTTTCAGCTGCCTGGGTTGGGGGTGGGTATACAGATACTGGCTAGCTGTTCAACAGAAAGTTTAGGACAAGGGTGAGAAAGGAATGAATAGTTAATGCAGTCCCAAGCCACTGGTGTGTTCAGAGATGGTCAGAGGTTGACAGGTGGTCAGGCAGTCTACTGTCTCAGGATTGCTCAGGTGGGATCTCGGGCATTGATGCCCGGCAGGTGGCCTTGCTGCAGAAGAGAATGGCTCAGGACAAAGGACATGGGCACAAAAATTCTGGCATGCCTAGCCTTTATCCTGCTCTTAGTTTATTTGTGGGCCCAAGTAAGGAGTCAATATGTTTTGACAACAAAGTCAGTGCTTCCTCTGATCAATTCCAGGTACAGGGCTTCACCAGGGAAATCCACCTCAAGAAAGGATACTAGGTAAATAATAAGCAGTCAGAGTTTAGTGCCAATCAAGATGTATCAAATCTTATGTTTTCAAAGGAGGAGAAAAAGTAATTAAAAAGAAAACTACCTAAACACACCCATGGCTCAACAGAAATGCCAAACAGTCGACCTGAATCTGTGGTTATCTTCTTTATAAATTTTTTTCTTTCTCTTCTTTTTGCTGCCCAATCCCACATACCCACTGGACCAGTGGAGGGGAATGAAACTCTCATCTCTGGTTCTGAAGGCTTATACGCTTGGAAAAGGACAGAAATAATGATGCAGATGGTGCCTGCCATTCTCTGAGGGTTCCAGGGAAGCAGGAAACAAATTAACTTCACTGTGACTGCACAAGCCACTCTATACCATAGAAAAGCTACTCCACAAGAGGAATCCAACATCTAGGATGGATGAGCAATCATTCCTGAGCTCCACACAAGCAGCAAGAAGATCTGCAACAATCTTAGTAACCCTCCCTAAATGCAGAGCACTGGCTCCTGGCCTGAGCTGAATTCAGCCAGCTAAGGTGGGTGAGTGCCTCACTCACAAGCTCTGCAGAGCCAGAAAGAAGGACTGCAGACTTCTGCCAACATCTAAGGCTGGGGGACTACAATCCATCCAAGCCAGTCCCTGGCACCAGTCCTCAGACTTGGAGTATACATTATTTTGAAAAGGGGATTTAGTGAGAAACAACCTAAAAACCCCTACAAAGACAGAATACTGGCTGGGTTGGGGACTCCCTCCCCACTCCCCTGACTCTTCTCCTTAAAGAGGATATGAGTATTTAAGTGTATGAATATCACTATTTGGTTTGGTTTGTTTTCATCGTTTTAAAGGTTGAGACTTACTTCAACTTTTTTCCTCTTTAAAACACTATTTTTCAGTATTTTAAACTTTTTATTTTTACTATATTTAGTAAATATTGTAAGGGAGTTTCCATTCAACAAAGAAGTTTATGAATACAATGGATATTGATTGATGTAATCCTTTCAACATCCTCATCCATCTTTCCTAACCTACCCCTTCCCTCATTTCTCTTTAATTTTGTAGGGTATGCATTGAAATTTGACTGCATTCTCTCTACTTTTTCTTCCTTTATTTTTCTTGTTTTTTCCTCTCATTTCTTGTCCTCTTTTCCACCTTTGGCTTTTTTAACTTTTAGTTAAACCCACTATGTGACAGAGAGATAAGAAGTAAACATACTAAGGCTATAGCAAATAATGCTGCAATGAACATACTTGTGTTGGTAGCTTCAGTGTGGCCTTCTTTGTGGTGTATTAGATAAATACCCAGGAGTGGAATTACTGGGTCATATGGTAGTCTTTTGAGGAACCTCCAAATGCTTTCCAGAGTGAATGAACAATTTTATATTCCCACCAACAGTGTAATAGAGTTCCCTTTTGGCTACATCCCCACCAGCATTTGTTAATGTTAGTTCCTTGATAATGGCCATTCTAACGAGGGTGAGGTGGAATTTCAATGTTATTTTGATTTGCATTACATTTACAGCCAGAGATTTTGAACATTTCTTCATGCATCTATTGGCCATTGTCACTTCTCCCTCTGAGAATTTTCTAAGTCATTAGCCCATTTATTAATTGGATTATTTCTTTGAGGTTTTATTTGGGGGGAGGCTAATTTTTTAGCTCTAATTCTGATGCATATCTAATAAAAAAATTCCTATTCTGTTAGTTTTCTAATGAGTTTGCTACCTATGTCCTTTGCCATGCAGAAACTTTTTAAGTTTGATGCAATCCCATTTATCCAGTCTCTGATTTGTGGTGATTTTTTTGATCTTAGAAAGTTTCAGCCCAGATTCCACTCAATTGATGATCAAGAAAATGTGGCACATATACACAATGTAATTCTACACATTGAATAGAAAGAATGATATTGTACCATTCCTAAGAAAATGACAAGACTTTGAAAAAATTATATTAAGCAAAGTAATCCAGACCCAGAGAAAAATAGGCTGCATGGTTTCCATCATTTGTGATAGAATGTGTTTATAAATCTACAAGTAAATACACTGGATGGTAAAAAAAAAAAAAAAGCAAACTAGGACATGATAAATTATACAACTCCAGGCATTCACACACTAAAGGAGACTAAAGGAGTATATTCTTACGAGAGGAACACAAAGGTGTACTGCCTATGTATATCTGATTATATAAAATAATATTTATCAAAATGAACTCCAGGAAATGGAAACAAGAGGTTTTTCCTTTGTTGCTTTTTTTTCTTTTCTTTTTGTCTTGTTATTTGTTCTTTTATCTGTCTTTGGGAGCGGAACGGGGATCACAGAATGGAGGGATAAATGGTGAATAAATGCAGCAGTGGAACTTACTAGATACTATAGTGAAAATGAGCTATCCACCTTGTGGATAGGGATGGGAGGGAAAAACTGGGAGTGAGGAAAGGGATGACATTGTTAAAAAAATAAATGTATTCTTCATCTAATTTAGGTAACTGCAGTCCAGTCCCTCTCTGTATCATCTTAATAATAACAATAAAAAAGTAACTACAAATACAAAGTTTGCTAAGTTGTTAACTTAAAAAATGGTAAAAGACAATCTTTAAAAAAATTAACATACCACCACCAACAACAAAAATATCCAAGAAATGAGTCTGTAAGAATTTTTTTTTTGGGGGTCAGGTCATGGGGCCTGAACTCTGGGCCTGGGCACTGTCCCTCAGCTCTTCAGCTCAAGGCTAGCGCTCTGCCACCTGAGCCACTTCTGGCTTTTTTTCTTTTTGCTGAGGTATTGAACCCAGAGGCCTCAGGCATGCAAGGCAAGCGCTCTACCACTGAGCCACCTTCCCAGCCCCGAGTCTGTGAGAATTTTACAACTCAAAAGACTAAATTTGCAGCTGATAGATACTGAGGAAGAAGATCAGATAGCTAAAGGTATAGGAAGTATATTTAACAGAATAATAGCAGAAAATGTCCTAGATCTTGAAAAAGAAAAGTCCATCTAGTTACAAGGGGCTTTTTTCAGGTTTAAAGACTTTATTTAGTAAGGATAAAGTAAAAGCCACTCAGAAGAATTAGCAGCAGGACTTGGAAACTGGTTGTCCACATAAGAGGCTTTTAGAATTCCCAAATGACCAAGATCAGAAAAGAACTTCTCAGTAACACATTGTGATCAAAACTGATAGAACAGAAAAATTTTAAAAAGTACTTCAGATTCCCTTCAATGGACAAATGGATCAAGAAAATGCAATACACACACACACACACACACACACACACACACACACAATGGAATTTTACTGATTAGTTAAGAATAATGGCATTATGTCATTTGCAAGAAATGGATGGACCTGGAAAAAATTATGTTGAGTGAAGTCAGGCCCAGAGAGACAAAAAAACAAACATGTATTCTCTCTCCTGTGTATGAGTTAGAGATCATGTATGAATATGCAAATAAATAGGTACAGGATTGTATGCACATGTAAATAAATGTATTGAAGTGTGGCATATGCAGGGGGAAGAATTCAAATGGTTTGACTCCTTAGAACAATGAACTCACAGTTGATATCCAAGCTGATACTTGAAATGTGGGTGAGGGCCATGGGGAGGAGCATAGATGAATGAAGAAAGGAAGTGAAGGAGAATACAGTTATAATATTCAATGCATATCCTATGAAACTAGGAAAATTGAAGAGATGGTTGTGGCTGGGAGGGATGTGGGAGAATGATGAAAGGGATGATTTTGATTAAGATGTCTTGGACTCATAAAGTGACATGTTGAATGGTATCCTCTTTGCACAACTACTTCAAGATAAAACAATTAAAAATAATTAAATTGCAAAAAGCAGTTTAGAATCTGCTCTGTCATCTAGCCATTAATTGCAGACATCATTGTGTTGCAATGTGGTATTTTGAACAAAAGAAACCTGCACCTTAGCATAAAATGCATACAGGTAGGCCATTTTCTTTTTTGTTTATTTTTTTAACTTTTTTTTTTTTTGGTCGGTCATGGTGCTTGAACTCTGGGCTTGAGTGCTGTCCCTATGCTCTTCAGCTCAAGGTGAGCACTCTACTGCTTGAGCCACAGTGTAACTTCCGGTTTTCCAGTGGTTTATTGGAAATAAGAGTCTCACAGACTTTCCTGCCCTGGCTGGCTTTGAACTGGGATCCTCAGATCTCAGCCTCCTGAGTAGCTAGGATTACGGGTGTAAGCCATGCGGCTGTTTACTTTTTAATACTTAATTTTTAATTATTTTTCAGTTGTATTGAGGCATTCTTAGCAAAATTATATACATTCAAAATATACAACATAATGATTTTTTTTATCAGTTGTGGGGCTTGAACTCTGGGCCTGGGCACTATCCCTGAGCTCTTCAGCTCAAGGCTAGCACTCTACCACTTGAGCCACAGTGCCACTTCCACAACATAATGATTTTGATATCATCTAGAGGTTTCTCTCCACCAAATAAAGAATCATGAGGCAGGAAAAGTGGGAGCAGAGGCAAAGCTTATCTGAAAGTGAGAATAAAGTACCAGGAAATATGAGGGTGGCCTCTTGGCTACCCAAGGGTTGGTATATGCCCCCAACTAGGCCTCTCAGCTGGGAAGGATGCCTTTTATCATGTGAGGTTTTATCTATCCACTTCTTAGGCAAGGAGGAAGAAGAGGAGAGCACAGGCTACTCAAGGCAAGAAAATGAAAAAGGGTTCTGAAAGTCAATAGGTTGCTTGCAGTGCTTTTGGGGTCCGTCCCCCCTTTGTATCTCTTTGATCAAATCTCAAGTTTTCTTACGTATGGTTGGTTATTGCCCACCTTACCTCAAGGGGAGAGGCACCTGTGCCCTGTGAGTCTGCTGTAGGCCCATCAGCTATGTTCTCTCCACCAGGGACTTTTATCTCTGTCTTCTAGGCTCTTCAGGAGGAAGAAGAGCCATTGTCTCTAGCAAGATACTGTCTGTCCCTATCTGCCTAATTCTTTTCTGACAGTCCCTCACTTTGATATATGTATACTTTGTGAAATCATATTATAATCAAGCTAATTACATATTTTTTATTTCACAGTTACTTTTGTGTATTTCTGAGAATGCATAAGATGTAATGTCTTAGCAGAGTTCTAATTTATACTACATTCTTGCTATCTGTGGTCACCATGTTGTAGAGCCAACTTCCAGAACAATTCATTTTATAACTAAACTTTTGTACCTTTGGACCAGTATCCCTTCACATCCAGCCCATTTCTATTTCCTGTTCTGTGTACTTAGATCCTTCTATTTCACCCAGATGTGGGAGGAGGCAATATTTGTCTTTCTGTGTCTGCCTTATTCGCTTAGTTTAACAGGTTATTATGAATGGCAAGATCTCCTCCTTTTTATTAGGCTCCAGTAACACTTTGCATATGGGTATACTTCTGTTTATCAATCACATCCATCCATTGACAGACAGGCTGGTTCCCTATCTTGATCTCTGGGAATAGTGCTCCAATAACTATGGGAGCGCAGGTTAGACAGGCTATTTTCAATGGGCTGAACGAACAATATTTGATTCTGGCCAATCAGAGAGTTAGTGTACTTAATGTTTGTTTGGCTAATGACTGGGACCTGGGACTTGGGTCGAGACAGGAGTGTGCAACCATGACCAACAAAGAGCTAGGACAGATGGAAGCAAATAAAGCTACTTTAGCTAGGAATGATCGGCAAAGTGATATGGTATTACCCATTGACTCCCCAGGGGTAAGCTCTAATCAGAAGTCCCCATGAGCACTGGTCTTTGATCTCCATATATGCTCTTTATACTAACTTATTGAAAGAGGAGTTACTAGTTTGGACTCAGGGTCCTGCACAGCAACCTGGTCTGGAAAGCTGAAACAAGATACAAAAGAGACATTGTTTTAGAATATATTACCTCTGCCTTTCCTACTAGTTTCAATAACCTTCCAGTGACCCTAGGGAGAGGGTTTGCATAAGGTACCTGATTAGGAATTAACAACCAATCAGAATGTTGTGCAACGTGACCAATAAATGGTGCCTTCCAAAACACCTAATTACAATAAAAGAACCAATCAGAGGACTTCCCAGGATGTAAGAACCCCCTAGACTGAGAGTCACCACAGGTAATTAGATAGATAGATAAATAGATAGATAGATAGAGAGGGGGGGGGAGGGAGGGACAGGGAAGGAGATGGAGATAAAGAGACAATTGGCTGCAGAAAAGAGAATGGACAGTGGCAGTAGAGTTAGGGACTTCTGAATAAAGTTGTTTACACTTAGCATCTGTTGGCCTAAAGTTCATTCTTGAACACCAGAGACCCAAACCTGAGGAGGCTACAGCAATGCAGCAGCTCTACTGAGCTGCAACACTGGCAGGTCTTGCCTGCCCTGAGCTACAACACTGGCAGGGGTTGCCTTCTACAAGGCTGCAATCCTAGTGGTCTCTGCCAGGTGGTAAGCAAAAGGAGCAGTGTGGGCTCTGCCCACCAAGAACATCAGCAGAAAATTATATATCAATTTCACAAAAATTGTCAGCCCTAAAAGGCTTCTATATTTGTTGCCTCTCTTTTAGAGTAGAAATACCTTAGAGAAAGGGGATTTTGTAGATACTTTATAGCTATGTAGAGAATCTTGCCTAAAAGGAATCATGCCATTTGACTCTTCTAGATCTTTAGACTGTCTTTATTAGTCTGCATCTCGTAACTATGATGAAATACCTGAGACTGAGTAACTGAAAATGAAAAGAGATGTATGTATTTAACTCCCAGTTCCAGATGTCCAGAATCCAACATCTGCCGTGGACCTTCTTGCTGGCAGTGACCCAAAGCCATGCAGGGTATTATATGGCAAGAGATAGTGTGTGTGTGTGTGTGTGTGTGTGTGTGTGTGTGTGTGTGTGTGTGTGTGTGTGTGTGTGTTGGTCTCTCTCTCCTATCAGAACACCATCAGGACTCAAACATAGGGGCTCCTGATCATAATCCTGATGACCTCCCAATTTTCCTCTAAACACCATGGAGACATTACATTTCCATCCTGTTATGACTTCAGAGTGGGGAGCCAGTTTTTAACACATGAACTACTGGGACAAACACATATAATATTGTATCCAGACCTCATGACGGTTGGAAGCTGCCTGATAACAGTTGGATTCCAGCAGAGGAAGGCCTAGTGCTCATTCTAGACAGAACTAGGTCCTATAGAAGGCGAGGGAAGCATATATAGTTCTTAGAGCAGGACAGTAGTGAGAGCCTGAGGGCACGAGGGCACTGGTACAGATCAGGAATTGGGAAAACTGTAGAAGAGAAGACATTATGACTGGGAATAATCCACTGCACCTCTTGTTAAAGTTGTAGAACGAGACAGCTGGATTCTGGTGATCGTTCTACTATCTATCTACTCAGGAGGCTACGATGGGAAGGATCACACTTTGAAGCCAGTCTAAGCATAAAAGTCCAGGAAATACCACCTCCGAATAACCAGAAAAAAGCAGGGCTGGGGGTGTGATTTAGGTGTTAGAGGTAAGCAAGGTAAGCAAGCTGAGCAACTGGCAAAATTTTTTTAAAAATGGAAGGACTGAAAGTAGTTGAGTGCTTGAAATACATGTTTGTTTTCTGGACCAGAAGTCTTTGGTTGAGTATATGACTAGGAGGAGGCTGGGCCTTGTGGAGCTTTGATTTGTATCTAGGCTCTCTAGCACAGAACAGATCACATTTTGGTAACTGGGCAGTGCAGACACATTTCAGTTCTATTACATTTTCTAGCGTATTTCACATTTTCTCATCACTCTTTGCTCACAGTTCTAGTACTTTCACTAGACTCTGACCTGCTCCAGAGCATGTATGAATTCAGGGTCATCACATCAGAGAAAAAGAGTGTTATCTCCTCCCTGGGTCAGATGTCTATGAGATGAGAGAGTTGATGTGACTGCTTGGGACTCAGAGTTGAGAGTATCGTTTGAGAATGGCACAGCCACCCAAACAGCCCTGTACCAACTCATGGAAAAGAAACAAACTACCAATCTGTTTAAGATGTTGCACTTTATGAAGTTTCTACGACAGCCACCTGGCTGTTCCTTCATGAACATCTGTGACCAACGGGGCAAAGAAGGGAGGACCCTTTTCTGGAGCACAGAACTCATACACATCTTCCTGCACACGGTGAAGTACCTAATACAATGTAAACAGTATGTAGATAGTAGTTATCCTGTTTGCTTTAGTGAATAATGACAAAAAGGCTATATGTGTTTGATACTGGTGCAAGGGTATTTTTCTAATTTTTTTAAAATCAATGGTTGGTTGAAGCCATGATGTAGAACCCATAGGTTCTGAGGCCCAACTGTAAATTTATTCCCAAGGTGTCCTGTGAGTTATTTAACAAAACTAACTTTGTTTTAGAATTATCACTGCACAATGGAAAAAAAATGATTCCACAGAAAGTCAGACATATCAGATTCGGAACCATCTGACAGTTTCCCTGATGGGTAACCGTGTCTGACCGGGCTCACAGCAATATCTATGGTCCAGCCTTAGAGCTATCATTCCTGTGACTTAGGTCAAGCTCTCTCCTCTCCTGAGAATCCCAGGAGTCCTACAGGACTCCCAGGACCCCTGGGGGGGTCAAAGAAACATGGGCACAGGGTTTTTGATGAAATATTAGAGTCAAGAGGAAGTGGAGTGCAATGAGAAGGGAAGTGTGTGATTCCTTGTATGAATAATTCTAAAAATACGATTTAGATTTTTCATTCCCAAACTGCACTGGGGTGGTGGGCTCATTCTAAATTATACCAGTTTAACAGGCAGATTTCATCTGCAGTACTGATTTACAAAGTAGAGAATATTTGCATGGCACAAAATGTTAGTTTTTTTTAGTTCAGTTCTCAATTGTGCACACTTTCTTTCCCTTCCTTTTTTTAAATTTAACTTTGTCAAGATGATGTACAGAGGGGTTATAGTTACATATGTAAGGTCATGAGTACATTTCTTATTAAACTTATCTACCCCTCCCTCATGTTGCTCCCCCTTTCCCTCCCCCTTAATTCCCCCTCCCCCAAGTTGCACAGTTCATTTCCAATATATTGTCTTGTGAGTATTGCTGTTGCATTGGTTCACCATTTCATTGGTTCACCCTTTGTCCTTTGTCTATTTTGTCGTTCTCCTTCCCTTCCCTAATTCAGATAAACATACATACAATACGGCCAATCATGCGAAGAGGGAAGCTGAAATCAGGAAAGCAACCCCTTTTGTAATAGCTCTCCTTTCAATTGGTCTTGGCATACAGGCACTGGTGGCTCACACTTGTAATCCTAGCTATTCAGGAGGCTGAGGTCTGAGGATCATGGTTTGAAGCCAGCCTGGGCAGACAAATATCTGACAGACTCTTAATCTCTAGCTACTCAACAAAGAGCTAGAAATAGAGCTTTGGTTCAAATGGTAGAGCACCAGCCTTAAGCAACAACAACAAACAAACAAACAAACAAAAAACTAAAGGACAATTCCCAGGGCTTAAGTTCAATCCCCAAGGATTTGTTACTTCTCACATTTAAGAAGTACTAGTTGGCATATTTGGAATCATACCCCCCATTACCACCAGGCAACTTTTCATAGCAGAAGTTCTCAGAGCCTCCATGTCTGGTTGAGAAATTGCTTCTGGGAGCCCTGCCAAGTCCCCCTGGCAAATAAGAGCAGCCATCCTCTAAGGCAGATATGCCCAATCAATGACCCAGGGTGTTTGCAACATGAGCCAATGAAGTCACTTCCAATTGCACTCAACTTGGTAAATCATGAGCTGCCAAGGAGCTGCTGTCTGGAAGTGAATGTGTTGTTTCAATTCAGGCCGACAGTGGTCCTGAATTGGAGCAGGCTGGAAATTAAGGCTGCAAGCAGAGCTTCAGTTCACAGGGGGTGGGGCTGAGGACCTGCTGGCTGCTTGGCACAGCTCCCAACTGCTTATAGTACTTGATCACACTTGCTAACATTAAGACAAGGGCAATAAAACGTGGATTAGATGGAGATGGATTTGCCATGGAGACTGGGCAAAATCCTCAAGCAGATGTGTGTGGAAATTAATGGTGTGGTAGTAACAAATTTTAATGCACTGCACAGTAACTGTGTGGAGAAAACAGCCTACTGAAAACTGTTGGTGAGGCTGAGGGAGGATCTTATGGATGGAAAGGAAGGTAGGAGGTAACACGGATAGGTTTGGTGCACTTGGGGCATATTAAGAAGCTGCTCTGGCCTGTTCCAGAGATGCAGTTGAATTTATACTGCCAAAAGCTCTGAATCAATATGCATTGAAATCCATGTGGTTTTCCTCCTCCTCCTCCTTTCCTCTCTTTGTCTTCTCCTTCCCTCTCCTTTTCCTCCTCCTCCTCCCCCTCCTCCTCCTCCTCTTCTTCTTGTTGAAGAAGGTTTGTTTTGGCTGCAGTACTGGGATGGCACAGTACATCCTGGTGGGACCACATGGCAGAGGAGGCTGCTCATCATAGTGCCCAACCAGATAAGAGTAATAGGAAGGAGTCAGTATCCCAGTAACTCCTTTAAGGGAACCCCTCTAATGACTTAACTCCCTTCCATGAGGCCCAAACCTTAAAGGCTCCACTGCCTTCCAAGAGGACCAAACTGAGGACTAAACCTTTAGCTCAGCTCTTGGGAGACACTTCAGGATCAAACTTAGCACATTGGTTTTATCTTGCTGGAATTCTTTTTGGAAAGAAGGAAGAGGAGAAGAACGAAGTAGAGGGGGGGATGAAAAACATAACTATTGACTTATTTTCCCTTATTTCCTACAAGATATTTCTTACTTGGCTACTTTTTACTTCTGTTTAAAAATCATTGTATATTAGTCCACAAGAGCTCCCTGGCATTCATTACTTATAGCTGTTCGTGTACCTTTGTGTGGATGTACTGGAACCATTCCATCACATTTCAGTCATTATTAATATTCTGCTCTCATAATGAATAACCATGCAAATATGTTATTCTATTTTCTTTCCTGGAAGTGGAGTTGCTTGGCCAAAGGGAATATACACATGTAATTGTGTTTGATATTCAGACTCAGGGCAAATGGACCCTGCTGATATAGACTGGCCAGACCTGAGCCCTCACATGCCTCTTGGGACCAAGAAGGCTGGGTGACTCTGTGGAAATCAAGGGAGAAGCTATGGTTTGGGTGGTCTGGGACAATTTTTGGAAGCTCTACTTAGGAAAAATCATTCAAACCTATGAACAAGTAGGAGCATTTCCTTCTGCCTTTGAAACAGTCTGGCCCTAACCTGTTTTGTGTCTACAAGCAAGCCACTTAACCTCTCTGAGCTTCTGTTAAATGAAAGGCTCTGAGAATTCTAATTTTGTGCACTCAGTGTTCACAGTTTCATCCATTCATTTTGGGAGCTGTTTTCCTCTGAATTATATAGAGTACCTACTATAAAATGTACAGCTTCAGCACTTTTTACATAGATAATAACACATACAGAGCACCCTGGTCATGAGAGAAAAATTCTTATATCCAGAAAGTTTCTTTGTGATTTTCTTAGTCAGTAACTCTGAAAACATAACTAGTATTCTAACGTAGTTTAGCTCTTCCTGTTCTGGAACTTCACACACAATAGAATTAGACAAAGTACCTTTTTACTGGCTTCTTTCCTACACAGAGATCTTCCCTTCCCCATAGTTTTAATTTCCATGGTTTTAGTTACTCATGATTGACCGTGATCCAAAAATACCAAATATAAAATTTTAGAAATAAACAATTCAGCCTGGAGTTCTGCCTCCTCAAGAAGATCAAGATTTGAAGCTAGCCTGGGCAGAAAAGTCAATGGGATGCTGCCTCCCAAAAAATAACCAGCAAAGAGAAGGGTTGTAGGCATGCTTCATGTGGCAGAACACGAGCGGTAAGAAAGTCAAGCAAGAAGCCCTGAGTTCAAATCCTGCTACCCTAAAAAGAAAAAAATTAAGACTTCATAAGTTTTAAGTTGAACTTTGCTCTGAGTGATTTAATGACCTCTTGAGCTGTCCTGCTCCTTCCCACCTGAACATCTTTTTGTTGAGTGCATCTGCCCTGTATACATTATCTGCATGTTACCCAATTAATGGTCATCTTCATCCACTGGTCATTGCACAGGCTTAGATTCAGGTAACCACTTGAATTATTTTACTTAATAACCACCCCCAAATCGCAAGAGTATGGATACTGGTAATTTTATTATACTGTATAATTATGATTGTTCTATTTTATGATTAGTAGTTGTTACCATTAGTCTTTTGCTGTAGACCTAGTGTGAAAATGAACTTCTATCATAGGGATGAATGTATAGAAAAAACATCATACACATAGGATTTGATCTGTTCTGTTTCAGGCTCCCACCAGGGATCTTGAAAAGGATTTCCCATGGATGAGGAGATGATAGTAACATGAATTTTATTTTTATTCATGTCATCAAAGGTAATCTTTAAAAGCTGAAATTCATAATGTGTGTGTGTGTGTGCACGCACGTGTGCACATGCACTGGTACTGGAACTTGAATTCAGGGCTTCTGAAGCTTGAACTCAGGGGCTTTTCTTCTTGCTTAGCTGTTTTTGTTTCATATGTTTTGTTTTTGGTGCCAATATGGCGCTTGAATTCAAGGTCTGGGTGCTGTCCCTTAGCTTTTTTGCTCAAGGCCAGTGCTTTACCACTTGAACCACATTCCCATTTCTGGCTTTTTGATTAGTAATTGAAGATAAATGTCTCTCACACTTTCTTGTGTGGTCTAGCTTCAAACTATTATCTTCATGTCTCAGCCTCTTGAACAGCTAGGATTACAGGCCTCAGCAATGAATGTTAGGCTTGAAATTCATCATTTTGGAACAGAACGTTGTTATTAGCTTTCAGACATGGATGGATGATGTTCTTTGGAGAGCAGAGGGTTTCTAGGTGAGCTAAGGGCTTGTGATCATGATCATAAGACAAGCTACAGAATGTGTTTCTGTTGCTAAGACAAAGATAGCATTAACACCAAGGCAAAGCAAGAGGAAGGGGTAAAGAGTGGGAAGGTGAGTCAGGAAAGCAAAAGGAAGGGAGGGCCATGTGCTCTCCCTCTGAATTTTTGGGTATAGGGTGTTCTGTGCAGATGAGGCACAGTGGTATAAACAGATCTGTGCTTGGAATGTACGGAAGGAGGGCGGGGGCTGAGTATGCCAGAGCCTGCTGGAGAACAGGAAGGCTTGCCTGAAATAGGAGCTGCAGGCCTATAGTCTGGAACTCCTTGAGAGCTCATCAGGCGAAACTGACAACCTGAGAACAAGAGCCCTCCTGGCACCGTGCCATGGCCACCTGCAATGTCACTGTACCTATCCTGGGCCAAGTGCTGAATATGTGTATTTCACAGCCCTAAGTGCTCCCCTAAATAACCTTGAAAATGGGTGGCATGGGTCAAAGGAAAGACAATAGCAGCTGTCAATAATGATTGTGCTTCATAGGCTGATGGGGAAACTGGGTAAAGCTGAAGCCCAGATGGGTTAGGGGCTTAGTGCATGGGTTAGTGCATGAGTATGGGCACAGCATGAGCTTTGTCTGTGCCTCCCAACGCCCACTGTCATCCCACCCTGTGACCAGCTGCTCCCAGAATCCAAGCATTTATAGGCAACATCAGAATTGTGAGCTATTTCCTGAAAGATAGAGGGTAGACATCTTAGCTGTTGGATTGTTATTCATAATCAAATGGCCCTGTCCCAAGAAAATTCCATGGCATATCCTAATATATTCCCATCAGCCTTCATGTTTTGCCTCTTTACCTGCATTTTTCCTTTTCTTTTTCTTTTTGTGCCAGTCCTGGGGCTTGAACTTGGGGCCTGAGTGCTGTTCCTGGGCTCTTTTGCTCAAATCAAGCAGGCCACCACTTGAGCCACAACTTCACGTATGGCTATTTTTTTTAGATAAGGGCCTCATGAACTTTTTTGCATGAGCTGGCCCTGAACTGCAATCCATAGACGTCAGCCTCCTAAATAGCTAGGATTACAGATATGAAGCACCAGTACTCAGCTCAATTTTTCTCATCTGTCATTATCATAATGAAGTATTTAAAAATTCTTTTTCCTTGATGTAACAAAAGCTGATCTTATATTCTGCTTCATTCTCTGAGCACTGTACTTTTTCTGACCTAAGTGTCAGACCCCTCTTACAGTTTATTAATGAGCTGATGTTTCTGGAAATGCCATAACAAATTCCACAACTTCTAGAACTGCTGCTTCTCCACAGCCTTTGACCTCGCCAAAGTCATATCTTTAAAACACAATGTAAAATCCAGGTCTATCTAGTGAAAAACTATTCTGCATTCCAAATTGGCCATGCTCCAATAAGAGTATAAAAATGAAGCAGGTAACAATGGGCTTGAGTGCATACCTGTTGGAATGGCTGAAATCCAAAAATCTGACAATAATGTGTTCTGGCAAAGATTTGCAGCAACAGAGACTCTTGTCTTGCTGGTGGTAATGCAAAATCACTTTGAAAGACAGTCATTGTTTCTACAAAGCTAGAACTGCTCTCCTCATACAACCCAACAATTGCATTGTGAGATATTTACCAAAATTATGTCCACATAAGTCCATTTACATGAACATGCGTATTATTATGAGCTTACCCATAATTTCCAAACCAGAGAAGTAGATTTATGTGCCACTTAGAAAGCAAACTAGATTAGTGTCCTGCAGGGCCTTGGGATGGAAGAGAGTGAATAGAGAAGTCACAGGAATTTCTCCAGAGCTGTGAAACTGTTTCATATAATACTGTAGTGGTAGAGATACAACTCATGTGATTTTATCAAAACACATGGAATCTTACAACACAGAGAGTAAACTTTCATGTTGAAGTAAGGAGACTGGGAGACTGGATCTATGCTTCCCACAGATAATTGGCCCTTGATTTCCCCTTATTCCCTAGATTTCCCTAGATGGTTTGCTTTTATTTAACACTTCTATTAGGTTTAAGTGTCCTCATCTGGTTTGCTTTGCTTATTTATGTATAACACTTTTATTAGACTTAATTCCACACACCTTAAGTGGTCATGGCTTATATAAGCTTTGTTCTAGCTGCATTTGAGGTTGCTGGTCTTTGAGACAAGAATCCACTACCTCTTAAGTGGTGGGTGGCATGTCTGTTTGTTGTGACTGAGTTTCCTTACAACAATGAATTCAGGGTTTAAAAAATTCATTTATCGCTGGGTGTTGGTTGGTGGCTCACACCTGTAATGCTAGCTACTCAGGAGTCTGAGATTTGAGGATCACAGATTGAAGCCAGTGCTGGCAGGAGAGTCTGTGAGACTCTTGTCTCCAATTAAACACCAAAAAGCTGGAAATGGATCTGTGGCTCAAGTGGTAGAGCCATGAGCATAAAAAGCTCAGGCACAGTGCCCAGGCACCAGGACTTGTATGTGCGTGTGCACACACATGTGTGTATCTGTCTACTTAGAGGGTCTAGAACTAACAATATTACAGTATTAATGATACCCAGCCATAATGATGCTCTAATACCAGCAATACTCCAGTATTAATAGTGCCCCATTAGTAACAATGTTCCATTACTAATGATACTCTATTAGTAATGATGGTCCAGCACTAACAATGCTCCAGCACTGATACTAATGGTGCTTTAGTACTAGGATACTCTGGTACTAATGGTGCTTTAGTACTAATGATACTCTGGTACTAACAGTGCTCTGTGCTTCTCCAAGCATCATGCCAATGAAAGGAGCCAGGAACCAGCACTGGCTGGTTCTGAAGTCTAAAATGATGAGTCTGAAGCTGAAGCAGAGAATATACCTGGAGAGAAACCTAAACCATCTTTATAAAACAAAATAATTAAGAGCTCAATAGCCAAAATAATGGAGTTATGTTCAAACAGCACAAGAGCCAATAGAAAGAGAGCTCTAAATGATGAAAGCCAGAACAATTTGAGCAACGCAATACATAATTTAATATTGGGTTGTAACCCAGAGTATAAAATAGTAACCATGTATCCATGTTCATATAAATGTTAAGAAGCCTGAATAACTAAATAAAGGAGAATAGACAAAACTCTTGGGCAGAATTCAAAAAATTTATGTAGAAAGCTCTCAGGAGATGGAACGTAACTTGTCTTCTTAAGGGTGGGCTGTGCTTAGTGATTTTTTCCCCCAACACTACAGCATGGAAAGAGTAGAGATGGCAGAGTCACTCTACAGAAGAAAACTATTGCTGGCAACCCTTCATCCAGCTACACCAGGTCACTGCCATAATGTGATGGTATCAGCTTGGTGGCACATATGCTCAGAATGAACTGATTAGAACTTTATTTTTGTGATCTTCCTCTTCAAACCTGTAGTCCCAATATAATTGCTAGAAACAAACTGGGAACACCAGATTGAGGGATTTTCTACAAAACACCTGAATAACCCTCCTCAAAAACAAAGAGATCACCAGATGCTAGTGGCTCACAACTGCAACCCTGACTATTCAGGACAGTAAGATCTAGAGGATTGCTGTTCAAAGCCAGCCTAGACAGAAAAGTCCAAAAATCTATCTCTAAAATAACTTCCATCAACGAGAAGTGTTTTAGATTTCAGATCTGGGAGTATTTGCATATACATAATGAAATATAGTAAGAATGGAAACCAAGTCTAAACATGAAATTTTTTTTAGTTTCAAATACTCTGATGCACAGACACTGAGTGTAATTTTATGCAATATTTTTAATAATATTATGTAAAAAAAGAAGTTTCATAGTTATGAAACTTTCTGCTTGAGCCATAATATTGAGGCAAGAAATATACCTGGAGATGAACCTCAACCATCTTTATATAAGAAAATAAAGAAGTTTGAAAGTCAAAATGTTTGAAATTTTTAAGCCTTTTGAACTTCAAATTTCTGATTAAGGCCATTGATATTGGATCATTAATTGTGACAGGAATGCCATACTAGTGTAAAATATTAATAAGAGGAAGCTGGATAGCTATGAAAACTCTGCATTAATTTTGTAACTTATTGCACATCTCAGAGTATTCTGAACTATTAAAAGCACCTTATTAAAAGTAGAATAGATGAATATTGCTCATCCAAAGAAATGGCCCAGAATTTTTCCAAAGTGCATCAGAAATTTGACAAGGACCCAAGTGGCTCATGCTTGTAATCCTAGTTATTTAGGAGGCTGAGATCTAAGGATTGAGGTTCAAAGCTTACCTGGGCAGGAAATACTGTGAGACTGTTTTCAAAAAGCTAGGAGTGGAACTGTAACTCAATTGTAGAGCACAGCCTTGAGAAAGAAAAAAAAAACCTAAGGGACAACTGCACACACACACACACACACACACACACACACACACAAGAAATTTGGAAAGGCATTTGAAAAATGTGATCTGATGGGAGTTTCTGAAAGGCATACTCAGTGGGAGACAAGCAGGGGGATCTGTTTGTACATGGATCCATGGTCTGCTGGTGAGAGGGATCCCAGCAAGAAATGAATGAATGAAGAAAATTAGGACGGAACAGAATGCTGGACACCTCCCTTTCAGAAGATGCTGTCATTCAATCCCACCAGGCTAAGGGGTCAAGCATACTACAGCTGGATGTCATTTGTTGTCTTGGTTTCCACTGGACAGAGAACAAGTTGTCATGGATCAGTCACAATCTTTTCTGCAGGCCAGACATAGGACAAGAGCCAGAAACTGAATGTTTATAAAGGTAAAGCAATAACCTGGGGACCTGCTCTGAAGTT